GAGAACTTGTTGATCTTTATTGAAAGACAATAACCATCGAGTTACTTGTGAACAATTCCAATTACGAGGATCCATTATACCGTATTTAATAATATCAATAAAACGTATAAGATTTTGGTTAGTGAATGATGTCGTGAATTGTAATGTAACTTAAAACCCTAATAGAAAAAATAACAATGAATATGATGTAAAGAAGAAAAAACGCGTATACATACGGCAACTGCTATAAAGAATTCAGCCGCTTGTTCTATCAAACGATCAAATTATAAATGTAAAAAAAAATCAAGTGAATTTTTCGACGAGCCATAAAATGAAACTAAGAAATATGCCGAGTTAAAATATATGCTATAAAGTTAAGTCTTGAGAGAAACAGAACTCACCAAACTGATTTTTGAATGAATTTCGTATTGTTACCAATATTAGAATAAGTTTGATAAGCAAAACAAATAGTTTGTAACAGTGTTTCTAATGGAAATCTGAAATATACTGTGTAGTGCACACTATTTAAAAGAAAAGCAGTGTCTATATAAACTTGTTTTTCTAAACAAAGTGTGCTAAGTATGCCATGTCGAAGTTTCACCAAATAAAAAAATGAAAAATGTTAGTCTTTTTATCAAGTTAAAAAGGATCAGTAATAAATAAATAGAAAACCAGTTTGAAATTCATCCATTAAGGACGATTCAACATAAAAAATAGAATCCTAGAATTTCATATGAATTTGACAAATTACAACTGTCAATTTTCAAAAACGAAAATAAAATAATCGCAAAACGTTTGACAGCTATTATCATCATCTTCGCGATCATGAATACCAGTATGATTTGAACAAAACTAAATTGAATGTGTTATTATTGTAGATTTTATTTAGCACTTATTGGAAAACCTAGAAAGTCATAAAAATAGGAATCCACGGCATTATTATGGTGAAACACAAAAATTTCACGTCTTTCAAATTCATTGATTAAAAGTAATCTTTTTTTTAATTTCATTGCATGATTTTTATTAAAAACGCAATTTTTTGAACTTGCTTAAGTAAACTGTCACTTTTCGTTAATCAATTTGAAAACCATTAAAATTTTTGTTCGTTTCGTCATCAAAAATTTTATTTGTTTGATTTTTCTGTGGACTGGAATGTATTGAAAGCAAACTGAGATAAATCTGAAAAGAAAAAAGACGGCATAGTCAAAAAGAGTGATTTCATTCAATAAAAGGTAGAACAAATAAAAATATATCAAAGAAGATTTTTGGCTTAAACATAATTTGTTAGCTAAAAGTATTTTTCAAATGTCTTTTGTAAACTGTGCTCTGTATATTCTCCTTCTTAAACTAGGTGAACAGCGACGTGTATTTTCACAACTACAAATGTCTGTGCGCTTTGCTTTCACTTGTGTACACCTGGCATGACAAACACGGAGTTTGTAAATGCAATGAAAAGCTGATTCAAATAATAAGAAGTTTATGCTAGTCTATAAGCTGGTGATAAAGAGCATACCGAGAAACGACAATCAATATTGAAATGCACCATCCAGAGTCGAGTGTTCAAGGAGCATTTATCGGGAAAAAAATTTTATGAGAAAAATTATTTCGGACGAAAATCCTTTCAAACTACGTTTTTGTTTTTTCAAAACTTAGTTTCACTCGAAAGATGGTGTGACATTTCGATTGTTTTTTTATGCTAAAAACATGCGCAAATTGTACACATCGATAGATGTCGCTGCACTAATTCTCTGTTTTACCACTCAGGCGAGCAAAAAAAGGGGTAGGACGGGAGACATGTCTAGTCCAAAACGTCAGCATATTTGTCCTGTCTAGTGCGAAACGTCTGCATTTGTGTCCTGTCTAGTCGAAAACATTCTGTTTAGAAGTCAGGACTAGTCTCCTGTACATAAAGCGTCATACTTGTACGTCTAGACTAGCTAAATATTTCTGGAAACCACGTCCTGACTAGTCTGAAACGTCCTTGGTAGAAGTCAAGTCGAATACACGGTACAGCAGATAATATGATTCTACGTCTGGACTAGTCTAAAATTTATTGTAACTTTCTAGAGCATAGGAAAAACGTCCTTTTTACCAGTCAGGTCTAGTCCGCACACAACATATGATTTGTGTTTGCGTCTAGACTAGTCAATGTGTATGTGAAAAACTTCGTGTCATAACTAGTCCAGCATA